AGACATCAACAACCTTCAAATATCTATAAAACACAGTATACATTATATAGACATCAACAACCTTCAAATATCTATAAAACACAGTATACATTATATAGACATCAACAACCTTCAAATATCTATAAAACACAGTATACATTATATAGACATCAACAACCTTCAAATATCTATAAAACACAGTATACATTATATAGACATCAACAACCTTCAAATATCTATAAAACACAGTATACATTATATAGACATCAACAACCTTCAAATATCTATAAAACACAGTATACATTATATAGACATCAACAACCTTCAAATATCTATAAAACACAGTATACATTATATAGACATCAACAACCTTCAAATATCTATAAAACACAGTATACATTATATAGACATCAACAACCTTCAAATATCTATAAAACACAGTATACATTATATAGACATCAACAACCTTCAAATATCTATAAAACACAGCAGAAATGCTAAGTTTGTTTTGAACACAAACAATAATTGAAAACAGATTTGAAAGCTTTCGAAAATACCCGTTTCATTTGTAAAGCAAAGAGTGCAAATGGCCAGTGTCTTGACTATAAACCGCTGAAAACAACTCCAAAACACTGTATACATTATATAGACTTCATCAACTTTCAAATATCTATAAAACACAATTTGCATTATATAGACTGTTCTGCTAAACTTCAAATATCAATTCTTCTTGCTTATCACAAAATACACCAACCATCCCCATGAACGTGAGTCATGGTAACGACTTCATTTCCTATGATCTGTGGTAGCCAATGAAAGAGGCTAACACAGGTCACATGACTTGTGCAGGCCAATGAAATAAATCAGCAAAACTAAATAAAATGTGACGAGGGTACATGCCTGCTCATTCAACTCAATGATGGAGGCAACTTCAAGCGAGTTCCTATTGCTGTTACTGCCTTCACTACTGTGGTCAGAGGAGGCTGCTACAGACGTTCGCTTAAATATACCCAAGTTGCTGACTTTTTGTAGGCCTTTGCTTGGCGAGGGAGAGCCGGTGGATTTGTCACCCTTCACCCACACAGATGGAGATCGCGAGGCTGGCTGGATCGTCTTGCTGGCCGAAGCAGGGTAGTTACTTCTGTAATTATAGCATAAAAAATATTCAAAATTAAAATTAAAATTAATAAATGTTTTAGGTTTATTAGATGTTTAAGGCTTATAAGTGATAATCTAGTTATAATGTTATATAAATTGTAAATGTGGACAAAGTATGATCTCAATCAGCTCATCGATGTGGGAAAAATATGATCCAATTTAGCTTGTAAATGTGGACATGGTATAATCTCATTTTTTGTGTGAATGTCAGTTAAAATGAACCCAATCTGAGCTTGTAAACATCAATATTTGATACATTTGATAAGCCTGAACATTTTCGTTATAAAAGATCAGGAATTATTTAGAACAACAAAACACAAATGTGACTGCCACCAATAATCATCAGGATCAGAAAGGCGTCCAACATCAGTGATTTTACATCATTAAACAGTCTGTTTAAGGTAACTGTAAAGTTAGACATGTGTAAATAACAAACATAACAATACATGTAATTCCAACACACAACAATTGTTATCTGTCTCCGTATGGTGACCAATGTTTTCAAACAGGAGTTAAAAGCATTTCAATGTGCCTGAAAAGTAAAATCTCTTGTAAAACACACACACTTACTACTCTAATAGAAAGCGAGTACTTCAAAGACTGACATAACAAGAGGTCCAAAGGGTCTGTATCACTCACCTATTTCTGTTTTGTTAAGATGCTTATTTCATCTTCATTAAAAGTACAGTTCATAGGGGATATTAAATACCTTCCCGTTTAACCCCAAATCTATTTCATAAGTACGGTAGGATAATTATACTCTTATCTATCAGGAATATAACATGGGTAAATCATGGATATTTTCTGCTGTAAGAGTAAAATATGTGGTATTCAGCAGGAAAAGGATTTCTATTAATTTATTTATTACATGTATGTATTAAAGCATTAAGATGAAAATGTTATTACATGAAGGACGCCCAGGAATTAGTGGCACTGTAGTTGGTGTCTTATTGTAATAATGTCATACTTGACAAAAAGACTTTTCACCATTTAGAATTGGATATTTATGTTATTCTGTTGTTTTCAGCTATTATGTTGTAAGTTTGATAACAAATATGTTAGCAATTTATATAGTTATGTAAATACCTTACTGTATGTACCAAACATAAGCAAAAATAACCACTCAAGATTCCTCCATCACATCAGCATCATTGGAATGATAAACCAGTGGCTTTGCAGTGAATGAAAAATACCATTCTGATTGGTCAATACAAAATGTATTCTTTCATTGAGTAAACCACATCCCTTTATATCCCTTTTATCAGATTAATAGAATACTACGTCTCACTTCCACAAATTAACAAAAATTGTAATTCAACCCCTTAACACAGGCTTGTATGTTATGACCTCCAAATTTTCACTTTGAATCTTCTTTCCAAAACAGAACATGCTTCTAAATACTGAAGCTATTTATGTTTAAATTTTATCATTCTGTTTAAAATTAATTACAACAAAAACAACATGTCACCTACTATTACCTTTGTAAAACATGTACAAAAAGTTAAAAAGTTTATTGAAGCATCAGCATGACCCAAGGCTCCAGTTACAGTTCTTACAGTAGATAATGGAACAATTATCTGACTGCATCCTTACTGCCTAGAGCAACCTAGAAATCAGAATACGGCACACAGACAGCAAGGAGTGAAGTACGAGACAGAACCCTGGTACCACACAGACATTAACAACAGGTAGATAGTAATGGAATTAGATAAGGGGGAAGAACACACCTGTAGTGGTCACACTCTTATAGAACAAACAGAACAAGAGAGACAGTTTGTAAACCAGCTACCTACTAAACAAAATAGATCCTAGCACACTCAGAACCTTCCCTTAATACACACAATGTGATACATCTAGATAGAAAACAAGGGGTGGGTAATAATATTGCACTACCAATATATTGCAATATTTGTCTAGCAATATGTGTATTGCAATATGATTTTGAAATATATTGCAATATGTTTTCAATTAATTGTTTTCCAATTTTCATTTCTGACCTGAAGCTCACTTTTCCTATTTTTCTACAATTGTATAAAACCATTATAGATATACTAAATTTGTAGGAGAACAATATATTGTGATACATTGCAATATTTGCTAAAATATATGGCAATATGAAATATGCTTCCAATACCCACCCCTAAGAAAACACGCAAGTTAAGGTACAACAAAAGATACAGAACACACATTACACACAACGTGAACACGAGGATATAGGGACAAAACATAGACCAGTATATCGTACTGTGATTATATATAACATTACACGGAAATCCTGTTCAACCAACAACCAATGGGGTGTTCTGTACACAATCCAGCCAATGAAAAGTTTCTCACAAAGCTACCGGAGATTTCATTGGCTAGGTCAGGAGCCTCCTGTTCAAAATCTAAACCCAGCCAATGAAAAGTTTCTCACAAAGCTACCGGAGATTTCATTGGCTAGGTCAGGAGCCTCCTGTTCAAAATCTAAACCCAGCCAATGAAAAGTTTCTCACAAAGCTACCGGAGATTTCATTGGCTAGGTCAGGAGCCTCCTGTTCAAAATCTAAACCCAGCCAATGAAAAGTTTCTCACAAAGCTACCGGAGATTTCATTGGCTAGGTCAGGAGCCTCCTGTTCAAAATCTAAACCCAGCCAATGAAAAGTTTCTCACAAAGCTACCGGAGATTTCATTGGCTAGGTCAGGAGCCTCCTGTTCAAAATCTAAACCCAGCCAATGAAAAGTTTCTCACAAAGCTACCGGAGATTTCATTGGCTAGGTCAGGAGCCTCCTGTTCAAAATCTAAACCCAGCCAATGAAAAGTTTCTCACAAAGCTACCGGAGATTTCATTGGCTAGGTCAGGAGCCTCCTGTTCAAAATCTAAACCCAGCCAATGAAAAGTTTCTCACAAAGCTACCGGAGATTTCATTGGCTAGGTCAGGAGCCTCCTGTTCAAAATCTAAACCCAGCCAATGAAAAGTTTCTCACAAAGCTATCGGAGATTTCATTGGCTAGATTAGGAGCCTCCTGTTCAAAATCTAAACCCAGCCAATGAAATGTTTCTCACAAATCTATCAGAGATGTCATTGGCCAGGTCCTGAGCCACGGGTACAGAAGTTAACCCAAGCCAATGAAAATGTTTTGAAAATCTACAAGAGATTTCATTGGCCAGGTCTGGAGGTACAGAATATGTAATTGTTGGTAGAGAGCAGAAAAATCACATGACGGCACAATAATCACATATACAGACATTAAAAGCATTGTAGTCTACATAATGCTCTGGGTACATAGATAAAGCTGTTACAGTACTAATGTCTGGTTACCTTCTGTAGTACACCCTTTGTTTGCTGTAATTTACAGTCACACATACATTATATATGGAAACAGAAAGACAGACAAACTTACCGATTGTTTAATGTAAGTAGCATTCATTATGTATTATATATGGAAACAGAAAGTTACAACAAAGAGTCCCATCTATATGATGTAGGTAACAGTCACGATCATAATGCATTTAATAAAAAAAATCTAAAAAGCTGTCAATAAGTTGATACACAAAGTAATTTTTTATAATAATTCAAAATTCCAAATTGACCACTACATGTACTATATATTAATTAGAACAATTATGTTAAGTGTAATCCTAGGTTAATCTTGACCTTCATTTTAGTAAATATAACTAGGGATATTGATTATAGTGGGTGCTATACAGTAAACCTACAGGAATAGATTTTGTCAACATTATCACCCTCAGCAGACTTGTTAGTTACTATTATATAACTTGCTACAGTATGTCAAATAAAAGCAGATTTTTAAGTAACTATTACTAGATATACAGGTGTTAACAATTTCCACATTGTAATACCTACTTTTCATTTCCCTACCAGATGTGTTGATAGAGACTACTCCTATTAGTACTTCAGTTTAAGGATAAATTCTTTATAAGAGACCTACAGTATTGTGTCTTCACTGTGGTTTAAACTTATCTTGCATGTATCTGTATAAGTTGTATAAGGTGTTGATGGCTACAATGTGTGTCTAGTTTGCTGGTTTACTGGGTCATTATAACCTACACTAAGGTCACACAAGATGTACGGGGTTACTATGACACCACTGACTAAATGTACACTAAGATTAATGGCAGGATGCTTGGCTACAGTTAAATAATGAACACAACTATGTGTACCGGAAGTTTACAGGACCTTGTTCACTGGCAGGTTTACTTACTCTGAGGGCATCGTGAGGAAGGCCTCGCTGACACGACTAAGGCTGACGGCAGACATAGACTTGTATCTCTTCAGTGTGCTCATGTAGGCACTTTCTGGGGGCTGTAACAGACAAGTCATAACATATACCATTTTTCCATAATATGCCATTCATGTTTCTGTTCCTTTCTTTTTAAATCCTTTCCCAACTTTGACTCCACCTTCATACCCCCTGTTATTTATTTTGTATGCCTCCAAGCCTCCTTTCCATCCTCAAAATCTAAGGATTACAATCTCAATGCACATCTTTCTGCACCCCTAAAATATGTCATGACAAACTTGAAGGCTCTTTACAAGACACCTTGTAGATGATATAAGTAGGTTAGTTTGGTGTCTTTGATGAAGATCAAAGGAATAAGGATAAAGCATAACAGTAAAATCAGCAGGTTGGAAGTTGGGTGTTGCCCCTATGTTATCTTCAAAGGATGTTTACTAGCCTACCAATTGGTAAGTGTTCTATACCTGAAACCAATAAAATACCTTATCGTGAGCCTTTGATTTTGCCATGACATATTTTAGGGGTGCAAAAAAGATGTGCTTGAGAGCAAGACTCTTGGATTTCAAGGTTGATTCCTCCAAACTCTTTGATCAGTAGTGCTCCGACACACCTACCTGGAGACACTGACACACCTACCTGGAGACTCTTGACACACCTACCTGGAGACTCTTGACACACCTACCTGGAGACACTGACACACCTACCTGGAGACACTGACACACCTACCTTGACACTCTGACACACCTACCTGGAGACACTTACACACCTACCTGGAGACACTGACACACCTACCTTGACACTCTGACACACCTACCTGGAGACTCAGACATACCTACCTTGACACTCTGACACACCTACCTGGAGACTCTGACACACCTACCTGGAGACTGACACACCTACCTTGAGACTCGGACATACCTACCTCTGACACACCTATCTGGAGACTCAGACACACCTACTTGGAGACTCGGACACACCTACCTTGAGACTGTACTCCTGTTTGATGAGATTACACATCTCCTCGAACCTCTGCTCCATGTGAAGATGGAAAGGCTTTAGATCATCAGTTACTTTCTTTTTGTGGATGTTCAAGGCCTCTCTGAGAAGGATCATCTGAAAAAAGGAAACAGCACAAGCTATAGCAACTATTGCTGAACAGAATGTAACTATTTGCTTTCTAATCGATTTGGGAAGCAAAAATTTTCCAATTTATTAAAGTTGTAAATTACTATGGTAAAAATACATTATCATATTTTCATACAGTTTTACAGATATTGAGACTTAGGTTGTTATATTTCAATTATCCTAAAAAGTGGAATGATGATACCATACAGAAAGCATAACAGTTAATAAGCTGGTAGCTATATAGTATCAAGGTAATCGTGACACACAGGAACATGGTCCTTAAGTAACGACATACCTGGTAGTATCAAGGTAACCGTGACACACAGGAACATGGTCCTTAAGTAATGACATACCTGGTAGTATCAAGGTAACCGTGACACACAGGAACATGGTCCTTA